TCTGTTTCTTATAGAGGAATCGAAAGGGCATAATCTAATTTTTAAATAGAAATACGAGTGGAAGTTTGGGAGAACGAGAAATGCTGTAAGGATACAAGTCCCAAGACTTTTTAGAGTTCTTCCAAACGTTCACGAGTGTTTCTGTTTTCTGTTTCTTTTGGACAATACCGCGAGGAAAGGCAAAGAAAATCGATTATCACATTGTAAATTCTATATTTACTCGCAACATCATTATGTCAACAACTCTTGCTGGTTCTGCCTTTTTAAGGAGTTATAGAGGTAAGGCTTCAAGCCATATAGATCAGTACTATACCATTGCCTTTTTTGTATGGCTATCAATTGACACGTTCTGTTTGTATATGTTTATAGTTGTGTCCATCTCCGAACGATGATGCCCATCTGATCAGGACGATTAAAGCAACAACAGACAGCATGACAGGAAAGATGACTTCAAACTGGAAAAGGGTTGACGAAATTGTTGAGCGAGTAAAAGGAGAGCTTGACAATGCAGACATAGAGTTCGAAAAACTTAATCATTTAGTTTTGGAAGAGCTTGGACACTTTGAAAGTTTAATTAATGACCCTGATCAACTGGCGCGCGATGAGGCGGTAGATTTCGTGGACGCTGGATATGCGGGCAACTCCCTCAGCTCCCCAGAACAAGGTGTGCCGGATCGATGTGATAAACCGGTGCTAGAGCCCATCAGAGAGAAAGAAATAAGCCATCTGAACGAAAAAGATGGACCAGGTTTGGAAGACCAACAATCGCAAAGTTCACTTTTAAAAAGGGCACACGAGAACCTGGAAGAGCTGACGCAAACAGCAGACAGGAAATTCACTTCGGTCTTTGAGTCTTTGGAAGCAGCCGAGACCAAAGCAAATGAGCGCATGCAACACCAAAAGAAAAAAAGAGAAAGGGTGGCAAAAAAATTATTCATTTTTAAAAAATCACTGAAAGATCTCCTTAAAGCTCAATGAACACAATCAGGTGTTTAGTCATCGAGGCTAGGCCAAATTATATATGCGAGCCTAAAATTCGGATGCAGATATACTGAAGAGCAAATGAACTCGATATTAAAGGTGCTTCATGCGAGATTTAGTACAAGGCGTTTATTAATGTGTCATAGGTACTTTAATATTCGTAATAAACCGCATAAATTCCAAAACTCGAAAGTAACACACTGTGAAGTTGCTTAAATTAAACCGTAAGGATTCTGGAGGAAGTTAGCCAAAGCCCACAATTTCTGAAAAAATTTTAAGCAGCGCAGTCCATTAAGAGATTATCACAGGAACGTCAAGATACATGTGCATCTAACTAAAAGAGCTTGACAAATTAAATCAAGGTGTTCTCGATAGGTGTTAGGCCATCCCCATAAAGTGTTTCGTTTTCCACCGCCCAGGCCTAGTTTTTTTTATGTTGTTGTTCTCACGGTTTTATTTTGTTGTTGTTGTTGTTTTTGTTTAAGTTCTATCTATCTATTTCTTTTTAAAAACGGAAAAATGAAAAAACGGTTTTCAATTCATAACCTGCTACCACCTTTTGGAATGATAGTGGTTATTGATACGTATACGTTACTCAATATGTCCGGTTTTTGTCCGCTTTCATTTATTTTATTTGTAACCAATCGACAGAGAGCAAGAGCGAGGGTGGTGCGAAAAGGAATCATTTATTTATTTATTATGTAGAGCATTATTCAAAAAGTATGAAATGCATGTGTAACGTTAGATGAAATACCAGTATTGTCAAAGTGGTTTTCCGCTATTTAAGTTCAAAGTTTGCGTGAGTTGTTCAATAGTGTGAATTACTGTCGACCCTGCCTATAATAAACAGGTTGGGTACAGGCGAAGACACGTCCTTGTAGTATTCTCTCTGCATACATAATTAGCGCATCGTGGAATTGCCCTTTTCACGGTTAATTTTTCTCATTTGCATTAAAATGTAATCCAACGTGGATGCGAGGCAATTTCGGGCTAAAGTTACAAACTAGCCCAAGATTGCCTCACATACATGCTAGATTTTATCGTAAAGCAAATGAGGAAAGTTAACCGTGAAAAGGGCTAGTCTGTTTAATACCCCAAAATTTCACCACGCTTTTATACCACAGGGCGGGCATGACGCTCTGTGGTCTCTTCGTTTAAATTCCCGTGTTTTGCCTCAATCAATGTCATTTTGCCGGCGTTCCGGGCTAGGAAGCGTTTGTCGTTGTGTGGTGTTGGACCTTTTGAGACTCCAGAAGAACCGGCGACTGGCGCTGTCCCCGTCGGCGTAGAAGTTGAACCGCCTCCAGTGGTTGAGGCTGAGGTATTTTCTCTTTGGGTGTCAGTAAAACGAGGACTCAGGGTCAGGGTCGGGGTCGAGGTTTCTTTTTTATAATTTTTTTCTTTCTTTAATTTCCTTTTTAATGTCTTTTTTTCCTTTTTTTTCCTTTTTTAACCCAAATTCAGATTTCTCGCGATTTGCATCAGCAGTGCATCATTGCAATATTTTCGCATATAAAGAAAATAAAATGTGGTGGAGCTCATTTTTTCACATCATCTCAAACAATACGCGTCACATTTTAGTCAAGACATTCGAATATAGAAGGCTGCACAAATTTATTTTCTAGTTCAGCGCCGATTTCTGCTAAAAGGTCCATGAGTTAGTGAATATATATTTTTTTTACATTCGCATCTATTATCATGTTTATAGTTTTTGTTATATTCATGATTGTTCGAGGTTTCCGCTTTGTAGGCGAGGAGTTACCGCTTATTTGTTGTGCTCTTTTGCAAACTTGAGTGCTGGAGGTTTTCGTTTTGTCAGCGAGTAATTACCGCTTTATAGCGAGGAATAGACGTTTATCGTTTCTTTAATGCTTTACTAGTGTTTTTCCGTTTTGTTGACACTGGAAGTCATTTTTTAGCAGTGCTGTGGTTTATTCCATTTTTCATTTACGCAAAATTTTCGTTGCCGTCTTTTATTTTCGTTAGATTTGTGTTATTTCGCCCGTGAATTATTATTTTTATGTTGTTCCTTACACTGGTCTATGCACTTTGCTGCTGTGTTTGTGTTTCGTTCGCTTACGTTTTGCTTTTTTTATTATTTGTCCGTTCTGTCAGGCCGGCGATCGTTTGGTTCCGTTAGAGAGCGCTTGAGCAGGACAAGGCCTTAGAGACCACTGAGTGTACTTTGACGAGTCTTAGAAGGTATCTTAACCATCCCAACAATGCGTTCGATCGTTTTGAGGTACTGGACCTTCCACAGGCCTTAGTACGCCTCGCACGCACACAGGCTCACCAAAAAGCTGAAGAGTATGCCGCGGCGGAACAGCCTAGTCTCCGACACGTTCTGTTTCTTCTCCAAGTGCTCAGAGAGCCGAGGCTGCGGCTTAGATTGTATGTTACATTTTGATAGAAGCTGGCTATTTCATCAACATTAACAAGTCACAGTGTGTCCCTTTCACAGTCGTAACGTTTTTTGGGTTTCCTTTGCGATTCTTTCCGCCAGTCTTTAGTTCCCCCGGATAAGAAGACAAAGTCTGGGATTTTGAAGGAAAGCATTTTATTATGTTCTCTGGTCAATCTCAAGCCTTTGCAGCCTTTCGCGGGAAAATTCGTTTCCCTTAGTTTAGCCATTCCTGGTTGCAAGCTTTACGTCCGCGAAGTATTTAGCGTCATAGCCAGCTTACGCGTTCTTTTACGGTGGCCACTAAAGTCCAGGGAAAACTCCGCTCGGATATACAGTATTGGCGTTTCGTAGATGATTGGTCAGATTGCCTTCCTTGGAGGTCGGAGCAACACTGCATTGTCACATTGCGATACCTCTAAACGCTTGTGGGACGGAGTTCCCCTCGAAGATAGAAAAAGGATTATTGGCTAGATGATTCGGATGACATCAACTCTCTCGAAGCTAAGGCTTTGCTGCATTCTCTACTCGCTTTTATAGATCACATCCGTGACTGTAGGGTTGATGTTCATACCGATAATCGAACCCTCAGGGACTGTCTTGGAGAATTTTGGCTGCAAGAGTTCCTCTGTTAACGAATCCGTCAAGGAGATTTTACAGTGTAACCGTCAATTGAACTTTGCCATTGATGTTCATTTCGTCCCCTCTCTCGGCAATCCAGCAGACGAGCCATCGCGGACGTGTTCTGACCTAGACTGCATGCTGTCCGAGAAAGGCTGGGATTTGGTGGAGGGTCGTTCTGGTCCACACTCATTTGACCTCATGTCGTTAGACAGTAACTGTCGAAGAGATCACTCCGGCTTCTCAAGGGGTTAACGCCTTCGCGCAACCCATTCCGTTGGGGCATAACATTTAAGTTTATGCGCCCATTGTTTTAGTCGGGCCACTCTTAAAGTATTTTGTGCATCAGAATTCTACTCTGGTAGTTCCCGACGTGCATCCAAGGTGTTTTTGGTGGGCTCTTCTTCGGGCTGTCGCAGTTGACCGTCTCTTGCTCGGCAGGAAAGGCGACGGAACCGTAATGCTTCTCCCTTCTCGCTCTGCGCTTGCTTGCATGGTCGGCGCGAAACCTGCAATGGGATTTATGGTCTTACCGCTGCGTTTTCTAGGTCTTTTTCCCGTTCGTTATGGTCTGTTTTCCAGGTTCGGCGGCCTTGGAAACCCGCCCGCCGCTCCCCTTCATGCTTATGTCCAAATGATCAGGACGCTAACTTTTGCCAGGCGTGTGGAGTAGCCACCGCTCCTCTTAAACCAGCTGTGCAGAAAAGACAAGATGCTTTGGATGAGAGGGCGATCCAGGAACGCTTCCAAAACTTTAAGTCTTCTGTTGGCAGCAAGCCCTATCAGCGTCAGAAGTCAGCTCTGGAGCAGCAATTTTCCACGTTCCTCGCGTCGGCTTCCCGCCTAAGATTATATCGTCTTGTACGGCAGATGCCGTGATAAAATTCCTTT